GAGGAGGGGAGGGGCGGAGAGATATCGGAGGCAGAAGAAGACCCGTGGCCTGAACCCGCTGAGTGAGGGGAGGGGAGAGGAGCGTGGTGTGCGAAAGTTCTCCAGGGAGGACAGACAAAATCTGGTGTCTGCCTGCGTGCAGAGGGCGACACCCAGGGCAGGCGTCTGGGAAAACGGGGGGTTCTGGGTGCAGTGGCTAGTGGCTCGGGGGCTCCGTGAACCAAGGAGGGTGGGGAGGAAGAGGGTGGGGGTGATAGTTGTATTAGTTGCATTCAGAGGACCTGGGAACATGCATTAGAACATGGAGCTCAAGAGAGAGAGAGAGAGAGAGCCCGTTTTAGACCAGCGCAGTGCAGGTGGGATTGGTGTCGGCTGCACCTCCGCGGCACCGAGAGGCGGGGGCACAGAGGTGAGCCCAGGCTGAGGTGCGGCCCCCCCCCCCCCCCGGCGAGGCCCCCACACTGCTGGAGGGCAGGCTAATTGCAAAAGCGAAAATCCCCCGGGCCATCAGGGCAAGGAGCCATCCCGACTCAGAAGGAAAAGATGGGGGCTCGGGCAGTGCCAGAGCACAGGAAGGAAGGTGAGCAGAGGGCGTGGTCGGGGAAGGACGCCCACTCTTCTGTGGGCCCAGCGGCCGTGTGCAGGCAGCGCCGTGTCCGCCTGCTTGGGGGAGCCAGGGCAGGCCAGCAGTGAGACTCTGGGCGTCAGCAGCAGAAGTCGCTGGCTCAGTCCCCCTGTGGGCCGAGAGGGAGGCGTGCAGAGCTGGGGGAGGCCGGCGACACCTCAGGAACCCCGTACTCTCAGGTCAAGTTGGGGAAAAGCGTGGAACTCTTGGAAGCAGGTTTTTCTGTGGGAACCGGTAGAAGGGATGAGTTCTGGGCCCAGGCAGCAGTAAGCCGGGATGCCAGTGAGCTAACTGGGATCGACGTTTGTATGTGGATTTCCAAATTCAAGGACGAGTTCTTGTTGTTGTAACAGTCATCACACACCAAAGGAGGGCAGGTCTGCCGAGAGCCATCTGCACTGTTTGGGGGACATGTGGTTTTGAACTTCAGCTCTGCAGCAGCCCCCCTTCGCCCACAGGGTGATGCTTTAAGACCCTGCCGTGGATGTCTGAAACCACAGAGCGAGCCAGGCCCTATAAATACTATGTTTCTTCCCACACGTGCACACCTGTGATAAAATTTAACTCATAAGTTCGGCACAGTAAGAGACTAACCACAATAAAAACTAATAAAATAGACCAGTTATAACAACATACTGTAAGAAAGGTTATGGGAACTGATTTCTCTCTCAAAATATTTGACTCTCCCGGACTCGCCCACCTCCTTCTTGTGACAGCGTCAGACGATGCGGGGCCCTCGAGAGGGGAGCGGAACGAGACCCGACTCAGTGATGGGAGGGTCACTTGGATGCAGGCACGGTGACACCTCCACAGCGGGTCTGCTCGGCGAGACCAAGCGGCCAGTGCGGGGGAGTGCGTCCACTCCGGGGATGTGGGAAAAGGGACGGCCCTCACCCCGGGCGGGACGGAGTGGGCCGTCACCAGATGTGGTCAGGCTGCTCAGAATGGCAGGCGATTTATGACCTGTAGGTCGTCTCTTTCTGGGATTCTTCTTTCAACAGTTTTGGACCCCTGGTGACAGCGGGTGACTGAGAATGTGGGGAACTGTCTCAAGGATGTGTCCGCCCCGCTGCATCAGTAGATCGGGCAGCTGGCGCTTGTGGCTGCGGGTTACAGCTGCTTGTTCTCCAGCGACTTCTTGTGTGGCCTCGGAACTCACGCGGTGGTTTGAGGCGCGCCTGCCTCGCCCTTCCAATCTGCATTCTTTGTCGAAGGAATTAATCATCTGGATTAAGAGGAAGTGAGTGAAACCGAGTTCCGTTCAGCTCCCTGTTGCGGCCTCAGGGGACCTCACTCCCTTTCTCCACTGGCGGAGTCAGTCCGGAGTGCGAGGCCAGCGCAGGCCTCTGTGCAGACCGGAGCGCAGCCCCGGCCGGGGCTTGCAGAGGAGGGCCAAGCAGTTCTTTGACTCCCTCCGTTTAGGTAACAGCTCGGGATAAAAAATGGGGAATCATTTCTGCCCTAGAAGGTAGGTTATCAGGGGAGACCCTCCTGGCCGTAGAACCTCAAACTCCCGCCCGAGTCCCCGACAAGCCAGGAAGCCGGGGAAAGGTGTGGGGAGAGCCCGCTGTGCAGGGGGCCGCGCAGCGGGCAGAGTGTGCAGACAGGAACCTTGTCCCAAGCGGCTGAAAGTCCCCTGCGGTGGGTGATGGGGCTCCCAGGACATGCTGGGGGACGCCGCCGCACCTGAGGGACCGTAATGTTGCTTCTGCTCCTGGCCATGGGCTTGGATAGTTGGCACACGGTCTCATTTATTTCTAAGTCCAGAAAATAGTCACCGTTTTCCGTGACAGTGAGAGGGGCCAATTAGAATGGACAGAACAGGGAGCTGGTTGGAGGCGGGGTCGGCAGTGACTCTGGGGGACCTGGGGGACCTGGGCGCCTCTCAGGGAGCCGTGGAGAGCCACTGCGGGGCTGTGTCACCGGCACAAGGGGGACGGTCAGCGGCCCAGACTCCCAGGGCCTGTCTCTGAGCAGTAAGAAGACAAGCATGTCTCCCTGTGCTAAAACGCACTGACGTTTTGTCTTGATTTAATACACATACATTGTGTGTGTGTGTGAAATTCTGGATTTGTGTTTGATTGGGGGAAGGGTTTGTAGATTAAGTTAAATTTCCTTATCCTGATGGTCTCTTCATCGTTGATACTATAGTTTTTAATGTCACGCACACAGAGCATTAATAGTTAAAATTTTCATAGCCCAAATCCATGTCTCCTTAGTTTTTTGACTATTAAACATTATGTTAGCATTGTGAGATACCTCACAGTTTATTATGGAATACATTTATTTGTTTTAAGACATTTAATTGTAGCAATGTTTTAAAAATTATTTTTTACCTGGTATTTTGTCCAAGAAAAAATTTTAACATCTTAGGGTAAAATGATACATTTCCTTGTGGAAAATAAATCCCCACCAGATGATGTTTTAAAAATTAAAACTAGATTGTCTTCGTTTTAGACATTACAAAACCTTCTTAGTCTCTTTCAAAATGTGACAAAAGTATTTTGAAAAGAGACGTCAGTGGGTAATTTTTTTACTTATAGGAGAGGAAAAATGTTTTCTTTTTACTAAAACACAAAGAATACAGGCCTTAAGTGGGCGATCGGAGAGCGGCACAGGTGTTTTTAGAATAAACACTTAACAGTCGTTCTCCACGTGCCCCGACCTCCTGGACAGCATCTGGAGCAGGCACTTCCTGGAGTGGAGGGTGGGGCTGCAGGGGTGGGTGAGTGGGGGCGGGTGGGCGGGTGGGCTGGCTGCGGGAGGGAGTGTCATCGGTTGGGGTAAATTATATCCACAATAATTTATATTAGTTTAAAATAATATTATTATAAGTTAACTATAACATAATAAACTATAGGGAAAATTACATAAAACAAGATGATCAAGGACATAAAAGACAGAATCTCACCTGCTCAGAAATAACCACTGTCTCTGTCCCGAACTAGTTTCTCCTTAAAAGTTTTTGAAAAACAAATGATAGTACTCTTATTTTTATTATTTTTTTAAATGATAGATACATGCTTCTTTTTTTTAAGATTTTATTTATTTATCTTTTTAGAGGGGAAGGGAAGGAGAGAGGGAGAGAAACATCAATGTGTGGTTGCCTCTTGTGTGTCCCCTTGTGGGAACTGGCCTGCAACCCAGGTGTGTGCCCCGACAAATGATAGTACTTTTAAATACTCAAAAGCCTTACAAAAATTATTAATGCACTGGGACCACCAATAAGGAAAAAAGTTGTGCTGGGGGTTATTCATCTTTGACTAAATCAACCTTTCTTATCAGAACGCAGGGTGTCCTTTTGATCATCTCTTCACTCCTGGAGAGGATGGGGAATGGAGGCAGTTTCCTAGAATCCTTTTGCTTTAATTACTTTGTTTCAGCAAGAAGCAGCATTCGGTCTCAGTTTTCCAAATGACCGCCCCTGTTTAGAAGTTTAGGAATTTCCGGAAACAAATTTATCAGAAGAATTTGCCTCAAAAGAATGCTTGTATTTTTTTTCTCTGTTTAAGTGTGGGTGAATCATTTCATTTTTCAGTGACCTATTCCTTTAACCTGTTTTCATGAAAAAAAAAACACCCCAAAAAGTGCAGCTTCCCTTGCCGCCTCCCCCGTGAGAGGCGGGAAACCCAGACGGTAGATGCAGCCCCTTGAGGAGCTGTCCCGGGAAGGGTATCAGCAAAGGGAAAGTTAGGGATAGTGAGAGATGTAAAATGTGAACAATAAATGGACATTTTGTTATTTTTTTAAGATTTTAATTTATTTATTTTTAGAGAGAGGAGGTGAGAGAGAGGGAAACATCAGTGTGTGGTTGCTTCCCACGGTGCGCCCCCTATTGGAGACCTGGCCTGCAGCTCAGGCCTGTGCCCCGGTTGGGAATTAAACCCTTGACACTTTGGCTCACTGGTCAGTGTTCAATACACTGAGCCACACCAGCCAGGGCTGAAGTGGATATTTTAAAACAAGTAAGTGGCATTAAAATATTGAGGAAAAATGTGCAGTTGATGCATTCTTCTACCTCCTAAGGTGATTGAGTTTTGATTGCTGTAATTTGTCAAAATGCAGCTAGTATTTCTTGAATCCCTTTCCTCTCTCTCAGGCCTGGCCCCCAAGTCACTCAGTCCCAGGCCCCGGGTCACCTGATGATGGAGGCTGCCTTTCTCGGGCCCGGCGGGAAGGGGCAGAGTGTGAGGTCGGGCGAGGAGGGCTGCCGTGGGTGGACTTGGCCTTGGCCGCGTCCGTGAGTGCCAAGAACATGCAAATCGAAGATAAGGACGGTGCCAGCAGGATGGAACAGGGCAGCGGTCAGCCCCGGGGCGGTGCGTGGAGCGGGCCTGGGGGAGGCAGACCTGACGCAGAGGTCTGAGGTCACGGTCGAGCTGTGCCCTCGCTGCCGCCCCGGGACAGTTCAGAAGCAGCTGCCCCAGTGGGCACAGCAGGGGCGGGGCGAGCTGGGGTGTCAAGGTCCTGTGCGAGTTGTCGGGCAGCTCCGTAGGGGCAGCCCCTGGCCCTGCTGTGTCTGGGAACCGAGGGAGCGAGCCGGCAGCGAGCAGGCACGCCCTTGGGGCCTGCGGGGCCTCCCTCCCTGCCTTGGTGCCGGCTGCTTTCTGCCCTCGTGGGCGCTGCCTTTCCGGCGTCACTCTGCCGTCCCTTTGCCAGGAGGGGGTCTTCTGAGGTAACTATGCACTAGCACCCCCATTTTACAGACGGAGAAACCAAGCCCGGTGAGGTTCAGTTAGCCGGAGTGTGTGTGTCTGTGTGTCTGTGTGTTAGGTAGCACACATTAGCTTTATCTGCAGATGTGTCTTTAAGGTAACTAACTGCACGACGCTAATAGTGTTCACTAAGCAATTGCCCTAGAACGCCACCTCCTTCACAGGAGGGTTTGTCATTGATTTATCACTGCCGAAATGTGCCCCTGTCTTGTTTTGTTTCACTCAGAGTAACTCCGTCTGTTGATGGGAAGTCTTTGAGGGTGGATTTATTTAGCAGGTTGGGGGAGCTCCTTTCGGGCAAACTTTATACGCTGGGCAACTTGGAATTCCGAGCCAGCCACCGCGGATCCCCACCCGGCCTTCCCCTGGGCCAGCTCAGGGACTCGCGTGGGCGGAGTGCGCTCCAAGGATGGTTTCCAGCAGGAGAGACCGAGCCCCTGGCACGGGCGCCCGGCCTTGCAGCCCCAGGCCGGAGCCCCAAGTCGGACGTGGCCGGAAAATCAATCGCTCTGCTTTCTGATGATGAAACCTCGCGCCTCATTTGAGTCGCATCTGGGCGTGTGGGGCAGAGTGTAAACTCACCACCTGGACGGGGCTGCGGTGACGTGGCGAGCCCAGGCGCTGCCCGCCGCGGAGGCGGGCTCGGCCAGTTCCCATCGGCGGGCTCGGTTACTCGCCTGGGACAGCCAGGCGCCGCCCGCGCCGTCCCTGGCCGGGTGACAGCGACGGCCCGGCGCGGCGGTTCTCCCTTCCCCGCCCACTCCGGCCCGGGTCGGAGCCTCGAGAGCGCAGCGCGGCGCTGGGCCGCGGCCCCTTTAAGGAGCGGCGCTGCGGAAACCCGAGCCCGCAGTCCCGGCGGGTAGCGGCGGCAGCTGCACTCGGGACGGCTCCCGCCCGCCGAGCATCGCGCGGCCGCTGTGGCCGGCGCCAGCCCTCAGCCGGGCCGCAGCGCCGGGAGCCCGGAACCGGCCGCGCGCAGCCGCCGCGCGCACGCGAGGGGCTCGGGACACGGCACAGGTGACGCGGTTTGCAGGGCCCGGGTTGGGGCGCGGGGAGAGGGCGGCCGCGCGGGGCGCGTGGCTCCAGCAGGTGCGCGCGGCGGGTCGCGCAGGCGGGGTCCCGGCCCCCGGCCCCGAGTCTCCGGGCGTCCCGCTCCTGCTCCCCGGGCTGTGGGTGCCCCCGGGTCTCAGATGCAGGGGGGAGCCTGGCCGGAGCCCGGCCCGCGGGCGCATCAAGTGGGTAAGCGCCCCATGCCGGCCCCTGCGGGGAACAAGGAGCTGCTGTTCACGCTCGCGGCGCCCGGAGGGTCCCGTTTCCAGCCTCCGAGTCGGAAGCGTCTAGTGCAGAAGGGCCGGGCGCGGGGTCGGGGCAGACGCCGGGGTCGGCTGCCATTGCGCTGGGCAGGCTGGTGAAGCCGAGTGCCCACCTCGGTTTACCCAGCCGTGAAACGGGGTCCGGGGCGCCCGCCTTTCCCCGCCGCTCACGGAGCTGCTGTCTGAGCTCGAGAAAGGGGCGCTTTGCCGGCCCGTGTTATGTCAGTTGTGCGCGTCGGAGCGTTGGTGCCCCAGCGCTTTCCGGGAGGGGGTTTGGATGAACCGGTCCGGTTGGGGGACAAGACAGAAAAGTTTCTGTGGACGTTGGGAGTCGATGTGCAGAGTAGGTGAGCGCTGTCACTTTAGTGGGTTCTTCACTGAGCCACACGCGCAGGGGAGGAAGGGTCTCGGGCTGCGGGTCTGAGTGACAGGTGGCCCTGGGCTCGTGGTGGATGGACCAGGACTGGCTCCCTCCTGCAGTAGCTGCCCCGGGTGATGGGTAGGGAACTCCGTTCCTCTGTTAAGGGTGCTACGTGTGAGGCAGAGACTTTTCCGGTTCGTTTGTCTTTTCCTGAAATTGGGTGGATGAAACCAAGTGAGAAATGTGTATTTCGGCCGTGCTACAAAACTGGAGACAGTGCCTGGAGCGGCGAGGACCTGGGGTGTATGCCCTCAGGGGGTCCAGATGGTGCTCCGAGTTGGGGGTGCTTCATTCACCCCCTGCAACTCCTCTGCCACATCACCTCCCTCCCTTGCATTTGTCCTGTGTGAGCCGGCACAGGGGGTGGCAGTCCCACCCCGGTGGCTCAGCCCGGCTCAGTGGTTTCGACTCTGAGGCATTCCTGTCCCTCTAAGCCTTCGTCACCGTGTTGGGGAGGATGACACCTCATTTCCAATGGAAGCCGTCCACGTGCAGGTGCCTGGGAATGGCGTGGTCGCGGGGCGGGGACTTGACAGCCAAGTCCAAGAAGCGAGGGCTTCTGAGTCACCCTGGCGCGTGGATGCAGGAGTTGGCCTGCTTCTCCCTTTGTTTCCAGACTCTCCCTCGGACAGATTCCAAGGAATCTCCCTCGAGATTCCCTCGATTACCTAGGTAAACGGAGGCCTCAGAGCAGGGAGTCGTCCGGGATCCTGCCCAGAGCCAGACTGGTCGGGAGTGTGGGGCGGAGCGAGTGAGACTTGGGAAGGGACCAGAGGTGCTGGAGGAGCCCCCGCTGGGGCTGGGGGGCGACCCGCCCCTCGGAGCCTGGCACAGAGGTGCTGGAGCTCCCGGCCGGCCCCCACCCCCACCCTCCAAGGCGCCTGCCCCGCAGGGGAGGAAAGTGAGCGGCTGACTTCCCGAGAAGCCTCGGGGCCTCGGCGTCTCCCGCACCCTCTTCTCAGATGACTGTCCCCTGCCCTGCAGACGGAGGATTCGTTTCGCTCCGGTATCACAGCGTGGCTGGGGAAAGTCACCTGAACCGTCTACACGAAGACACAGAAAACAAAGTTTTCTGTGGAGGAAGATAATGAGTTAATTGTCCTGGTGAGAGGTGGGTGACCGGACCAGGAGGGCAGAGTGGGGGGGCCTGGCGGCCATGCCATCATCCAGGGCAGAGGCCGCTCGCCCCGGCCTCTCCTCCAGCTGCCCTGTGAGAGGAGAGGGCAGAGAGCCGTGTGGGTGGAGGTGAGGGGCCCCTGTTCTCAAGGGTGGGCACCGGCTTTGTCTCACCATCTGGGATGGGCTGTGTGGACTGGCAGGGCGTGGGGCACCGGGGGCATCCCACCGAGAATTCGCCCCCTTGGGCGAGGGAGGTGCGTTTTGTTAGGAAGTTGGAGGTGTTTCCGGAGCAGCTTTGCTGGTGGTTTTTCTGGTCGAGCTGGAAGGTGGCTCACGGAGAAAACGTGTCCTCCCGCTCCTACGTTCATCCTGGAGAGAGCCGTGTGCTCCAAACGGTTCCTGGACCTGGGAGGGGGCGGGAGGAGCAAAGGTTCTGTTTTGTTGTTTTTTGTTTTTTTTCTGGGGACGTTGGTCTGTTCAGGGAGGAGGCATCCTGCGACCACGTGTGGGTTAGCTGGTGGACCGGGGAAAGGCCAAGGCCCGTGATGACGACGCCTGGCCGGAGCTCCGGCCGCACGAGGGGGGGGGTCTGAGCAGAGGGGCCCTCAGCCGAGGGCAGGCAGGCGGGGGTGGGGGCAGGCAGCGGACAAGGCGGCTCCGTGTCGTTTCGGAGGAACACGCACACCCAGTGCACCGTGCGTGGGGCCCGGGACACAGCGACGCACGCGCGTCTGAAACCAGCACACACCCGGCTGCCTTTTCCTCCTGCTTCTGCTTCCTCTCTGTGTCTGTTCTGTGTCCTGAGGAACTCGTCCGCTGTTCGGGGGTCACAGCCCCTCTGTGGGAACCGTGTGTCCAGTGGACGGAACCACAGGTTGCGGGGAGCAGGCTGGATGCGGGGGCCGAGGGCTGGGGGGCAGGGATAGATCCGGAGGTGCCTGCACCTGTTGGTGGGTCTGGTCTGGTGTCTGGGGGTGTGGGACCCACACTCACAAAAGACAGCTGGCGGGGCAGATGCAGAAAGGGGGCTTCCTACCCACTCTGTGCACTCGGGAACAAAGCCGCTAGTTCTGCGGGAAGAGGAAGTGTGGGAGGGGCTCGTGCGGCTCTGGAAGGACTGGGGAGCTGGGTCTTCAGAGTGGCAGAGACTTCCTCTCCATGACAGAAGATGCAAAGGCTGCAGAGGGAGGTGGCCGGTGGCCCCTGGCCCAGGCTCTGTCGCAGGGGGACCAGGAGCAGAGCGGCGGTGATCGGCCCGAGTCTCCCTGGCAGCTTTGAGAAGGTTGTGCAGATGTTCGGCACCGAAGTAGGTGTGGTTTCCAAAGCCCATTTGCTGATCGGACTCATTAGGAGGTTGGCTGCCTGCCTCACAGAGATTGGAAAGGATTCTTATTACATCTTATAAAAGGGCTGGGCGATCGAGACTTCCTCAGACGTCTATTCAGGACCGACAGTCCAGATGGACTTCTCGCTCACAGCCTTTGGAAATGCCCAAAGAGCTTTCGGGAGCGGTGGGTGAGGCAGCCCCCAGCATCCCTGAGCCAGTCCCGGTGTTGGTGCCTGCGCTTTTCGCTGTTCGGTGGCCCGGTCTCTCTGCAGGAGCGCTCGCCGGTCGGCCACAAGGACCCGCCCTGCAGGAAGGAAGATGTTCAGGTAGCAGAGCTCGCCCGTGGCCTGGTGGCTGCTGGCTGTTCTCTGCCACAGGCGGCCTCGCGCTCCTCCAGCTGGCCCTCCCTGCCTGCTCTGATTTTCTCCACTGAGTGGCTCTGTTTTCGCCGTGGTCCTACCGTTCGCCCTCCCACGCTGTCTGGACTCCATCGAATCCTTTCAACCCTGGTTTCTCTGAGGTTGTCGGGCCCGGACTCAACAGTGTCCACCTGTCCAGTCCTAGGTGCCCTCACTCGGGTCCTGGCCTGTGCTTGGCTGGTGTCACTGCGTCTCCATGTCTTCTCTGGAACAACTGTGCGTCCGCGGGTTTATCCATGGGGTTCGAGCAACTTGTAAACTTTGGGGACACAGAGAAACTGTTTTGTCGAGTTAGTTTAATTAGCTTTCTCTAACTAGGCTTTAAGACCTTTTGAAGGGTGCCGTTGGAAGCCACAGGACA